GTTTTGTTAATCAATCCAGGGCTGAACTCAGCCTAACCTACTTCAAACAGTGAATTCAGCAACAGTGTATAGACATGTACCGCGTTGAGTTGTATTAGAATAAACTAGACTAAGCTATTCATTTTGGAGGTATTTGGGGGGTCGCTTGATTACAAAGGGGTTGACTTCCAAAATTGAACGAAGAAAAAATCAAGCAACTATAGTTAGACCACATGGTCGTAGCATATTGAAGTTTGTGGCTGTAAAGAATCACGCAACTTTCCTGAGACTTCCCGTTTGTTCCTGTTCCTTCTAACAATTTCAGTTATTTTTTCAGCTTAACTAACCAGATTTCCAGAATGGCAAAATATCTAGCATTCATTTTGTACATTTAGAAGAATCCATTTTGCATATTGTAATAACAAGTTGTAGATTGTCTGAGAAATGTGGTGTATTCACGCAATACAGCAGCTATGTATTAACTTTCTTCAGTCTAATACTTTGGTTATCTGTGACGCTATCGAGCTGGACGTTCGAGAAGATTCTCAACTTGTACACATATGTTTATCTCCCTAAATTCAGAATCCAAAAATAGAACTTCTAAGTGAAGTATATGATGGAACTGTAAACGTTATAGGTATTCAGATTTTAGTCGGAGAAAATTTTCTTTCTGGCGTTTTATTTTCTGGGAAGTTGACAGTTTATGCTATTCTATCCTTTTGTAGGATGCAACCCGCCTGTCTAAACCTGAGTAGGTGGAACTGTGTTTAAACTCGTGACCCACCAAGGAATTCGTTTTCATATTGTGTTGGCTTGGAGCCTATTGCCTTAATTCGGTTGTGCACTTTCTACATATTTATCATTTAAAATAGTTCACCAATTTGTTATATGAAAGCCATTCTGCATTAACGTATTATGTTAATATGTAGAGCTGTGGATCTGATTTTCGCATTATATATATATATATATATATAACGTCCCACTTATTTTCATCTGCAAATTTAGCACCACTGATACGTTGCCTAAATTTTACTAACTAGACTTTGTGACATTCTTGATTAGTGGTTTGACCATATGGGTTCATAACTAATCTTGATGAGGTTGCAAACCTTCACCGACCCAGATGGCTAAGACGTGTTGTGCATACCTCGTGTTGCGATGTTAACTGAATTACACTAGGGTTAGAAAAAGATTAGAGACAGCCTGACTGAAATATAGCTGAAATGGCTGACTGAAATATGACATCTCTAACTGTTAGTTTGAACCGTGTTGGTTAAAGTAGACTTCTCGGTTGGGGGTCCGCATGATAACCGAAGTAGCTGTTAGTAGACGAGGTGATGTAACTCAGAATTATATCAATAGTGATCTGTTTTTACGGTTCTCTACCATTTTTCATTACTTTATCATTTCTTTGTCTTTGGTCTTCTTGCCTTCACTCTTTATGTGCTGCTTTGAGGTGGCAACTCGAATCACGCAGGAATGCCAGGTCTTTTGTTGATGCTGACTTATTGACTGTCATTAACTTCTGTTTCTTAGGTCTTGCATTTTTCCGTTCTATGCTATTTTGTATATATTTTATTTTTGACTTTATTTTCAGATAAAATGTTTGTATCCAGAAGCGTTCATGCTAATCATGCCGACCTTATTCATGATGTGGCCTACGATTTCTACGGTCGACGTATGGCAACTTGTAGTAGTGATCAAATGATTAAAGTATGTGTTTCACTTTTATAAATTATGATGAAAATGTTATTCATTGTTGTAAACTTTGAATCAGAAAAGATCTACCAGTACCTTGTGAATGTACGTATAGTACCATCTAAATTACAAACTCCACTTAGGTGGTCTGTTTCAGTTGTTTCCATATGGCTCAGTGAGACTTGTTGTCATTGGATCGAGTGGTCTGACACTTTCGTATCACACAGTTGGTATTTGTGTGTGAATCTGTCACATAGTTTGTGTATAGTAGTCCTAGCCACGAACAGAAGTTTGTGCTAGAACCATTTTAGAATCTCGGTCTTGGAATTGCCAGGAGTAAAACTTGTCTTCATGCTGTTTAACATTATGATATTTGACCTACCTTCTAAGGTCAAACGAAGTCATTAAACATGTTCTTTGTTTACTGGAAACATTTTTCATCACAAACATGGACAGGAACGGTCATTACTTCTGAAAGCCAGATTAACTACAATAAATTCTTACTCATTAAAACCTACTGCCATTTAAGTGTCTTTTAATCACCCTTCATTTCTTTTACATTTACGGGGTGTAGACAACACTGCATTAACGTTTTAGGCTGACACATCTTTTAAAAAGTTGGACGACGGCAAGGGATAAGGAATTGACTGTTTATAAACAGGACTCTGATCAGACAGTTGCTTAGTTAGATAAGTATGAGTAACTAAATTTTAAAATGCGGGACCTAATGCCGCGCCCTACTTGATACTCTTGTTTTTTATGGCAATTTGTTCTAAGTGATATATTTCAAAATCTATAGTCGTAGTGGTGTGCGTGTATTCATACATTTCCCTTAACTTAGTTTCGATATGTTTTGTCTCTTCTGTTTACCTAAAAGGATTTTTTGGCAACTGTAGTTGTCTTCACTGTTTTTCTGACTAACTTCCTTCTTAGTGTGACGTTGTAAATTGTGGCAACTTGGACCATTCCACAACTATGTCAGGTCGTTTGTTGCTCATATATCTCATTATTTGTAAGTCATCTGAGTAAGGCTGGGGTAACCTTATTTTCGAAATTTAGGAGCTATACAATTTTTCTGTTTGCCTGATTTGATCAACAAATCTGAAGCAACTAGACACACTGTTGTGTAGTTTTTTGACTATACCTTCTTGCCAGCGTCGATGACACTCCCACTTTTAAAGGTTCTTCTTTTCGTGAAAGTCCTCTATCCATAGATGGTATTCAGTTTTGTTTATCAAAATATTTACTACCAATATTTAGTGCAACTAGCATCTTGTCGATGCACTTTTCCCGCACATTGTGCTGTTTGTCATAAAGTTGAAAAGCATTTTCGAATATCCTAAATAAAGCAGCTCAGCTTCTCGAAAAGTATTTTGAATAAAACAGGTAATCTAGAGATTTTATGGAGAAAGTGATGTGCTTTTTGGACGTTTTGTTGTCTATATAGTCAAAAGAAATTCACCATGCTTTTGGAATTTTAATCAATACTTTTCTCAACAGTGCATGTAAGTCAAAAGTTTAACAAAATTAGGTCAGCAAGTGTTTGAAAAACTATCTTTTTGGTGCTTATTTCAAATGATAATAAGTAGTCTTTTGTTGAAATATTCTACTCCGATCTGGGCATCCAAGCAGTATCAAAATCCATATACAAATGATGAAGCGATAATGAAACAAAAAACTAATGGATTGCAAAAATGTTTATACAATCACTCGAATTCGTACTGTAAAAATTGAACTCAACTGTTCTACGTTTCATTTCATCGTTTTTAATTTTGATGTGTGAACTGGTTTTTTTGTCACTTTCAAACTTGTCTTTATTTGCATTCTTGTTTCACTCAGTTACCTAACATTGATTAGAATTCTGGTCCTATTGCACCACAAACCTATCACATAATGCAGTACCTGATCCGACTATTTGGAAACAACGTGCACCGCTTAAGCTCATTGCCGTCAACGTTTGCACCTTGATGTAGGTTGGACATCAAACAAGTTTAGCCAAGATTTTGGAAAACTTCTTTATTAGTGTGTACCGCATCTCAAAGACTTGCATACAGTATCCCAGCGAAATGCTTCAGATAATTTCTCTATATCAGTCCGTAAAGTGTGTGTGCGCGCTTATTCAGGAACTCTATGTCATCAGTTACCAACCTTGGTAGCACTGGTGTCTCACTATTTGCAGTAGTCAGAGCTACACTAGTCGACTAGATCTCTATCAATCGTCATCCGTGTGCTTTTAGACTAGAAAGTTCAATTAGAATAGTCAGTACCTGGTAACACAAGCGACATCTCTTCGTTATCTCTGTCTGTACTCTGGTTGACTGTAACCCGGATGCTGTTTAGATTCACCTCTGCCATCAGTTGGGTAACTTTCTCAATCAAACTCGCTTGTATCGCTGGGGACTTGAATATACAGTTTGCGTATTTAGACCCAGAGGAGGGTTGGTTAGATGATCGATGGGTAGTAATCGGTCGTAGGTAATATAATGAAGGATTTCTTCTGCAGCTTTGCATGGATCACAATCTGTTTCTAACCAGTACAGACTTCTAGCACAGCCAGCGCTGTTTCACTACATGTTATCTTCCGTTTGCTCCCTCAAGCTTGGACTCAGATTGCACTGAAATCACCTACAGATGGCATGATCTGTCTGAACTCTGATCACGCTTTAGTGTGTGCCAAATTCACTTGGTGTTTTCTCTGGTCATAAAAGTCATCATCCTGAACAAGTTGACGTCAGTAAATATGCTGCTGAAACTTTTATGACGATAAACCAAGACGAGCTAAATTCATGTTTAGCTGTCGAAGCTTCAGAACTTGAAGACGAGCATCAGTCAAATCTATAAGGCGTTATGTAGACAGCGAGTAAAGCTGGCTCTCTATTTGAAGAATATTCCACTAACAAACACTAAAGAGCTTGCAACTTCTTGATGCTCATCACTTCATTCCGACAGACAGTGAGTACAGTCGTATGCATAAATCCTTTACGTAAAAGATTACACCGCATTTACGTCAGGACAATGAGGTCTGATGGTCAGTATGCGAAATTCTGATAAAAGCTATAGCTGCGCGGGCTGTGGTCTAAAGCTGTTCTAGGTCATCGGAGGCAACAAAAGCAATAAACCTGGTATCAAAGACTGTGAGTGAAGTAAATGACACTCCAATCGCCAACTTTCGTAGACGCCCAAAAACGTTGGATGCAATACTTCTGAAGACGATGCACTTTGCTTATTGTTCAAGCATTATCCCCATTAGCATCGCTTGCTCCATCGTCAATCAACAGTGAACTAAGGGAGTGCAGTCTCAGAAAGAACTCAAATCCCAGAAGCCACCGTGATACTTTCGGGGACGGAAACGACACTACAGTCACAGAATTCAGTATATTATTTGCGGTATTACACATTAAGACTCTTCCATCACTTGGGGAAGAGGTCATCTTCGTACTCATCTTTATTGTACTTTCTGATCATCGGAGTACCAGTCTACTTCCAGTAATGTATAAGATATGGACTCGAATGCTGTCACACATTGTAGGCCAATGGTCATCGTGTTCCTTTATACTAAGACTGTCTTTAATTTGTTGAACAGGATTAGACTGTGAAATCGCCTGTCAGAGAGTTGGTGTTCCTGAAACATCTGTTAACATGTTGAGAAGCCTATTGTTTAGGACTTGAGACAGAGTGAAGGGATACAGCCATCTGTTCTCACTATTGGAAACTACTGATAGTTGGAGCTAGACAAGACTAACCGATTTCGCCATCGCTCTTTTCTATGGATTAGATTCTGGAGATAGTTTTGGAGGAGGTGTGTGTCGGTGGTGTAGATCAGCTGTTCGATCTTGAGTATGTGGTTGATGTTGTTTTCGTGTGTGACATCCTCCATGAGAATGAAATTGGACTTAGTGAAGTAGCGGTGAATGTGCGTAAGTATGGTGTATGCTTTGGAGTGTGTAAATGCGAAATGCTTTTTGAAGATGAACAGGAGTGTGTGAGTGTGCTGACTGTTGGTGTTGGATGGTTGGAAGTAGTCAGAAGATATTTGTGTGGGTGATGTAAGTGTAGGTGTAGGTGTGAGAGGTAGTATTTCCCAAAGGAATTGGTTGGTCAGACGAGTGTATTGGAGTTTGTGTCATTTTTTGCGTCGTCATGACGTTAGGTTGTGTTTAGAGCTTCGATGCAGTTTTTCAGCCGTTTACTTGTAAAACGTGGTTTTTGCAAGCTGGAGATCGTTGATGACTGACTGGGTTTGTGATCACCGTTGTCTGTATAGTATTTGTGGGATCCAGTGGGAACACGGTGCGGTTGGTTGTTGTGGTGTGAGGATCGTGTGTGTGGGTGTGTTGAGGACCATCACTTTATTGAGTGAAGTATTCATGAAAGAGCGTTTTTTTAGCTTGAAGATGTGTTATAATGGTGTAAATGGCTGCTACACCGTTTAGTGTTGACCTGGTTTGTTAGTGGTTAGGAGAAGTAGAGTGGTTGTGGTCATTGTACGAGGTTGCGCCTTGGGTATGAAAGATATTTGTCTTGTGTTAGCATCTGTCAGTGTGTCGGGACATTGTGATTGGGTCGGAGTTGGAGAGATGATGCTGGTCAGTGACTTGAAGCGATGTCAGGCATTTGTGAGAATCGAAGGCAGACGTGATGATGTTGCAGTTTTGTTTCTTCTATTGTTGAAAGTTATGGTGGAATTAGTGACGGTGTCGATGAATTTATCCACTTCTGTAATAACCCATTTCTAATTTATTTGTTTATTCTTTTCTTCAGTTTTTTTGCTTTCATCCTACGCCTTGTAAATGTTATATTATATATCTTTCAGTGTCCTATATGTTGTAACTAAACTGAAAATGGAACATTCAAAAGTAGTGTTTCCTACCTTCTTGTATACTTACAAAAGGTCTCATCCTCTTGGAAAGATTGCGTTTGTGGAAGCAACATTGTGCAAATTCCTACAGTAGGCAGTAGGCCACATCTGTCGCGTAAAGGTTAGTGATACAAACTAGCTGCTCAAATCTCAACAA